GAGTCTTACATCCAAAACTGGAAACTCTTTCACGAAATAATTTGCGCGGAGAGGGTCCCCATTGCAATCATCATCACAGGCCTCGAAAACGAGGATGGGTCGATGGACAACTGGTGGGTGCAGAACAGGGACGACTTTGAGCATAAGGGCATGAGGGCGGCGGGTCACGCCTGCATCACGGCAACAAGAGGGAAGATGAAGGGTGACGGATACCTGTTCGAGGACGAATATGCGGAGTCGAGGGGAAAAGTCCAGCAGTTGATCATAAATTGCGCACTGCAGAGCCTGGGTGGTTCCGAAGACCAAATGGTTTGTACAGACAGTAATCCGGTGCATCAGGGAGAAGATTGTGGAAAGAGAACTCTTTGAGAGGATGAGGCAATGTATGAGCGAAGAGGATGCTAAAGAGCTAGCGAAGGAGTTGAGTGCAGTTCGCAGCGACCCGTCTCTAGGTTGTTATTAGCTACCTGATACTATTTACCTACCTACCTATGTCAACTTCTCTTGCTGATGTTGAGTCGCTTCACACTGGGAAGAATGAAAAAAGTGATCTGATGCACTGAATTTTGGTAGACTGAATGAAAACTGACATTATGATATTGCAAGACCGTACTGGAGTCGCAGTACAACGCACAGCGCAAAGTGTAGCGTTCTCAGCGAGATTAGTGACCCAAGTTGATCAAAGAACGCATCACATCGCATTGATTCGATTCTCGTCACTACTTCAATTCACACAGACATCATGCATCATCACGTAGCGAGTGAGGACTAAGGAGTACCTGTGAGTAATTGGAGTTGTCACATGTGAGATTCTAATCCAAGTTCATGATCACCTCCTCATACGAACATGGTCTCATCATGAATGATTAATCTCGGTGCGTTCTCAGGCTTTACATAAATATGTACTCCGTGTTTCAGGCGTCCTACAACTGAACCCACATCCCACTGCGCAAGATGACAGCTCAACCTCCACTCCCCGACAAATGGACAAAGTTCTTGATGGATATCTATATACAGGCCCAGCCGCCTATCCTGGGTACAGTGAATATCAAAGAGATCGAGGGAAAGGCCAGGGAGGCTATGAAAGACTATATTTGTGAGCTTCCGTGTTTCGACGATGACTGATTGGACTGCTCGACATGTTTCGTATCAAAAGCGGCGTACATGTATACCTTTGGAAGTGCTGGGACGTGGTCAACGGATGCGGCAAACAAGAGCGCGATTGATGGCTGGAAAATCGTTCCCCGCATGCTCGTAGGCGCGACGAACCGCAGGTTACAAGTGAGTTTTCACATGTGAATCATTCACCAGAATTACCCACGGGTGATTGACACAATTCCTCCAGACGACCATTTTCGGCGTTGAATACCCCTCACCGCTGTTTGTTGCGCCAGTCGGTGTGCAAGGCATCTTGCATGCAGATGGAGAACTTGCAAGTGCACGCGCAGCAGGGAACGTCGGTGTGCCGTACATCATGAGCACTGCGTCCTCGCGATCCATCGAAGACGTGGCAAAAGCCAACGGGTCCAACGGTCACAGATGGTACCAACTTTATTGGTGAGCCCCCCCTTTTTTTCTTGGTCCCGACTCACTCGCTGTCCTTGGCCAATTGCCAGGCCTCGTACATCAGAAATAACACTCTCATTACTGAAGCGAGCTAAAGCCAACGGGTTCACAGCACTCGTGATCACGCTCGACACCATGGTCCTCGGTTGGCGTCCTCACGACATCGAAACTGCCTATCTCCCCTTCGCGTACGGTGTCGGTATCCAGGTCGGCACGTCCGATCCGGTGTTTATGAAGCGGTTTGATCTTGAGCCACGTCGAGGAGAGTCTACCTCCTTCCCTTTTGAACCCGAAAAAATCAAGGAGGCGGCAATTGGAAAGGGCGACGAGCGTGCGGCAAGGGACATGTTGCTGGGGAAGGAGTGGTTGGGTGAAGTGAATTCGGGTGTGTTTAGGACGTGGCAGGACTTGAAGTTTATTAGGGATAATTGGGACGGACCCATTGTGCTCAAAGGTATTCAGCGCGTGTCGGTGAGTGTGTTCGGAGTGCTCTGTGCGTTGCCTTGTTGATTGGGGGCGTGTTTCTGTGAATGCACAGGACGCAGAGAAGGCGATCGCTCACGGCATTGATGGAATCATTGTTTCGAACCACGGTGCAGTTGCCTGTGCCATGCTTGTTCTGTGGCTAGACTAAGGACGAACACGTCTAGGTGGCCGTCAGGTGGACGGCGCTATCGGCTCCATGGATGCCCTCGAGAAGATCATGCGCGCACGCAAGGTCCGCGCTGCACAATCAACGGGAAAGCTTACCGTTCTCTTCGACTCCGGCGTACGCACCGGAAGCGATGTCATCAAGGCGCTCGCAGTAGGGGCTCAGGCAGTTCTCAGTCAGTTTCTACAACTCCGGCCTTGCGCGCCATACTCATTCCTTGTGCACAGTCGGACGTCCGTTCATGTACGGCCTCGCCATTGCAGGACAAGAAGGCGTCGAACAAATCTTAATGCAGACGATTTCTGACCTGCATATCACCATGGGTCTTTGTGGCTACAGCGACGTCAACGAGATCATTGGCAAAAAGGACGAAATTTTGATGAAGCTAGACTACAAACTGTAACTGCATTCGGTACACATGGATATTCAACACTGCGTCCACATTACAAGACGAATCACAGGATGAAAGCACTCGGACGATGATGCGAAAAAAATGACAATAAAGAGTGGCACGTTGATTCCTTCTTCTACCATCCTCTCGCTGATATTTTTGTACTCCCTCGATCGACCGAAGTAGATGAGTCGGAAGCTATGGGTCGGGTTCACCATGCATTCGAACGGCTGTCTTCCTTCTATGGTATGCCTAGGAGACTACATGCAAGGAGGTCGGGCGTCCTGTCTGAATTAGGATGTTCCAGTCGGCGAATGGCGGCTCATACAGCAATCCTTAGGGAATAGCACGGGTGCGGATAATACCGCGGTTTTTAGCATACGGGTTGTGAGGATACGGGTACGGTGTGCATAGGCCGTACCCGCTCGTACGCCGTATGCTACCATACCCTTTCACCGCGAACCACTACGACCTTCGGACAGAGCTGCAAGAAATGTTAGGCGGCTTCAACACACTTCGCATGTACTGTTCCAAACCTCAAACGGCGTGGATCATGAACAGAATGAACGAATCAGGGTTCAGAGTCCAAAGCAGAACCACCTTTCGTTCAGTGTATCGAGCGAAGTCAGTCTTATGTCCACGGAACTGCTTCCAGCAAGCGAGGCTCCGAGAGGCATAAAGCAGTGACATTGTGTTAGGAGAGGTCAGTTCTTTCACTCTTCACGATGCCCATGATCAGACTCAAACTTCCCAAAGAAAAACTCTGTGATACTGCGTCCTCTCAATCTCGCACACCCTTCAAATGTATCTCGTCATCCATCTCGGACACACAGCTACGACGATCAAAATGGCCGTCATCAGAGGGGCGAAGGCTTTGACCCCTTGAAGGCAGCCCGTCGGTTACGTTCTGGAACGGTTGATACCATTGACCTGACACGCTGAGATATGGACTCGGGTGATGCATCGACCCCTGACTCTGGTAGTGCTCCAAATGATGACAAAGACCCATTCGTGGGACGAGTCTTCTCATATGGGCGGCAGCTCCTTCATTTCACCCGGAACCGGCTCTCCCCATCTGCGATCCGTGCCTTTCTTTGCCTAGGTGCTTTGGGAATGTGCAACTTGCTCTTCATGGAAGACCTTCTCACTGCTGTCACAAACCGGAAACGCAAGTGGGAAGAGATAGACATTGAGGATGAGGAGGAAAACGCGTAGTTTATTGCTGGCCACTGTCTTGGACCAGGTATTACTCACACTTCATCATAACCCCGATACAGTACCCGCGGTGTTCATACCACCGCGATTTTGCAGCACAGCGTCAGACCAACGGGTACGGTGTTGGAGGGTACGATACCGACTTTCTGGTGTTACCGGTGCGGAACCCCAGCAATCCCACATGGTGGAAGTGGAAGAGCGGTGCCGCACACTCAGCTTGTCTACCGATGGATAATTGGCGCAACTTGACCGTTCGCCAGTGCTCGATGAGTAAGACGAGGCCGCAACATCCTTTCTTCGATTTGGAGTGAGGGATGTAGTACCCAAAGAACTGAGCTTGCATTGGCATACGGCGTTGTTATTGTCTTGCTCGATTCGCACTCGAGCCTCCCATGCCTCTAAACAAATCCGTCAAAGGCAAACCAACCATTCCGACCCAGGAAAAGCTGCCCATGGGACTCCATACACGTCAGCTCCAGCGCCACCGCTCATGACGTGCTCGACAGCTGTCTTGAGTTCATCTACATTCCCCACCACCTCCGAATCACATGCATATGTTTCATCCTCCGAACCGAAGCCTATCTAAAGCGTCATCGTGCCCAGCGAACGACTCCACAAATTCGCAATGAAACTTACGCTGTGAGTGATGACTGCATTTCAATATAACTGCCTGACCGTAGTGGATGTACCAGGCTCTTCAGGAATGGGCCATGGCCGGTACAATCCTGCACAAGGGACGCAAGAGGAAAGCCATCATACGCGAGCAAGATATGCTTGAGGTCTAATGTCAGGATCAAGGCCATTTGATTTGAATCCCCCGTTTGTTCGTTTTCTCAGGTGGCTCAGATCTCTGGCAGCGAATGTAATTCGTTCACTTTCTACAAAAGAGCCATGACAACGGTCATCGTCCGGGGGATGCTCTCCAAGCTTTGGGATGTAAAAATAAAAACACCGGAGTATACGTATTGTGGAAGGTTCGAAATCGAAATCTTGCCCCCGTATCGCCTTTTCCGCACCTAACCTCTGCCCAGCATACTGAGTGGATTGCGACCAGGTGGACAGATGGTGTTGGTCTTGATGTCAAGACATTCTGTACATGATGGGGAAGCGACTTGATGATGGTGACAAGCACGATGTCCTCTTGCCATAGACACCAGTAGCTCATCGCTTAACATGGAACCCGTGGCGCAGTGGTAGCGCGTATGATTCCAGTTATCATGTGACTGTTTCCATAAGGTCATCCGTTCAATCCGGGTCGGGTTCACTTTTTTTTTCCATCCAACTTCGCTCTGTAAATCGGCCAGAAAAGTGGGGTTCTCCGTGGTAAAGGCAGTTCGCACCCCTTTTTTTTCTTTTGGCATGGGGTCTTCCAATACGTCATAGCTTCTTAGGCCGTACGTGGGTTGACTAACAGGAATATGTCAAAGGGCCGGGGACACTACAAGGCAGTACAGCTTTACATTCCGTAGTGCCAGCGGTTTATTGGAACTTGGCTAAGCTGTAGGTTTACATATACCAACGATAGTGATGTACATAACCCAGACCCGCAAACGCAGCATTCGATTGCATGGTATATGTAGTGTAAAGTCGTTGCCAATGTCATAGATACGATGTGTCCATAGTATATCCGTCTACTTCCGCGAGAACAATGAGAAGCGCTTCTTCGATACTGGACTACTCGACACTGGGCTACTCTGTAGACTCTCCACGCGAGTGGACGACGAGGCAGGACTATAGTCTCCGAAACCGTCTTTGCGTTTACGCATGTAGAATAACAGCGAGTGACGGGCACGGGGGCCCTGAGAGCTCTTGGATGGTCTAGGAGTCGAGGGAGTGCTTGGGCGAGAAGGGGATGACGAGCCGGGTGTCAGTGGCTGCAGTGAGGGGCGATGCATGCGGGGTGTAGAAGGTGATGGTGGTGAGTCGAGTGAAGTATGTGACCACGATGGTTCAACTGTGAACGGAGGAAGGGCAAATGACGTGTACGGGCCCGTGTCGGACTCCTCGGACGGCGGAGCAACGTCCGCCGGTTCTGGTGGAGGAGCAACCTCAATAGGCTTCATCTCTCTTGGTTTGATAAACAGCTCCCGATCTGGGAGCAAAAATTCATCATGAATAAGATCGAAGCCCCCGAGCAGATTAATTGCATAATCCGGTACGTGGACATCATCCTGATCCAAGTCCGCGATAATTTCAGCGCGTGTGCGAGGCGAGAAATGACTGATGATAGTCGCCGTGCCCTTGCTCTCTTCAATGATGCCCTGTGACGATGATGAACCCTCCGACGCAACGGACAGTGGCGGTGTGGAAGGTCGGGTAGATGCAATATCATCAGAGTTGTCAGTGACTGAATTGACAGCTAAGCGATATGGATTGTGTGATGAACGGTCGGAGACCGATTGCGCCTTGGCGCTACTCCCTGCGGCTTTTGTGAGTGATGATACATCGGACGCAGAGTTACCGGGACGAGGTTTGCATGGACGTTTCACGGGATTAAATGGCTCACCGGCCACGGATACGGGACGTGCATGCTTCGTAGTCAGACGTCGCAGAGGTGGAGTGACAGATGATGGCCGGAGGCGGAGGGGAGAGACGTCGCTCATTGTCATTCGACGTGGTAATGACTGGTCAAGAGCAAGCCTGCACTTGAGGTTGAGGTGAAAAGATGTCCTCGTGGGGGAGTAATAAAAAAAACGGCCCAGATTAGCACGCCGCCGTGCCTCATTGTTGAGGGCCGGAGGTAAGTCACGATTCTCCTCTTCTTCTTGGCCATGCTTCCGATCCGCCTTCAGTCCTGCTAGATGCTGAGTCAGCATCCCCACCTCCCGATCCACTTCCAACTGCCGTTTCTCCTCCATCCACCGCTCTTGCTGAAGTGCAACATAGCAGTCTGGGTCAGTATCTCTCTCCGCAAGGGATAACTTAAGCTTTGCTGCACGTTCCCGGGATTCTTGGGCACGTGTAGTCAGGGCTACACTAGCTTGATGCAGGACCCAGATCTGGAGTTCCTGAGGAGAGCGCTCCTCTGTACTGCTCTTCAAGGCATCGGCAAGAGCTTGTTCGGCGAAGGAGTAGCGACGGTTGCTACGAGTCGTCTCCCTAGATGATCCACACATAGAACCGGCACGCTTTGGACGATTTGTTGTAGGATTAGACCTGCCTAGAGTAAGGCTAGAATTAGGTGTACTGTGCACAACCTGTTCAGCGTGAATCGCATCGCATTATAGAGCGTGGAACCTACTAGATCGAATTGGCTGATGTACGTGGAGAGATGGGATCATTGCGATTTACAGTCATGTTGGTGCGCTCCTGTACGAGGGTTAGAGGGACCTGTGCCTGCCCGGATGGGGATTACGAACACATACGTTCAAGGCTGGCTTCATCGTTGTACGACTGACGGTATCGAGTCGCAGAGGTGATGGCTGGAGGCAACGACCGCTAGAAAGTTTGGGCACATCAAGAACTTGGTCCACTTGGTCGAGAATCTTCCGACCGATCATGAGCAAAAAATAAGGAGCAAGAATTCAGAAAAGTTCACAAGAAAAGAGGGAACACAGTTGGGCCAGAGAGTGGAGGAAATTCGAACTAGGCAGGACGGTTGCTGCAAGTAATTGTAAGCCAAAAGCAGCAGGTAATCGAGCGCAGGTCACCGTGCCCCGAGATCACGGAGAACTTGGAAACGAGGCTCGCACGGCGGAGTTAGAACTCTTGACAACACGAAAGGCAACTTCGTCCTCGTACAAACTGCCACCTCAGTCAACAAAGTCATAGATTGCTATCAACTGGTCCTAACAACGCGACTCAAATTCCGAAGATAATTTCGATTTCTTTATCTCTCAAGATAGACCTTCTTGTGCGTACTGCGAATTAGTGCGGCAGAAGGTTGGACTCGGACATGTGACTTCTAAAATCACTCACGTGACACCTATTGTTGCGAAATTGGCGATCATTTTCTACGATACAACTCCAGAGGCACAGCGAGAACCGCGGAGGCAGTCAATGTTACAACCAAGTTCGAGAGAAAATACAATTTTACATCCACCTAGAGCTGTAAATATGATACATATGTATCAAGATTTCCCAAGTACAAGATTTTTCAGACCTTTGCCAAGCTTCTTCACCTTCCCCTTCATATCCACTTTTGTCCGAGACTGACCCATCTCCCGGAAGTGATAGTCCCCTGGTTCATCAGGTGCATTATCCCGTCGCCATCGTGCAAGACTCATCCGCAACTCTGTCTCCCCACTCAACGAGAACCCAGAGCGTGAGCCAGCAGACATAACCTGGCCAGGTAAAACCATCGACATGGGACGTAATTCTTGTGCATAGTGAACACACGACCGATCACCACCGTCAAGGGACTTGGTTTCTCGTGGTGCATATGATGAGATCGGCGAGGGAGTACGAGGAGCGGACATGGAAAAGGCGGGGCTGGTGGGGCGTGACATATTATTGCGAATCGCAGAATAGTATGGTCGACTTGGGTGGCCCAAGCGAACAGGAGGATCGTTATCTTGAGAAGGCGCAAACGATAGTGCGTGTGACTGTCGTACTTCTACTGCGGATGCTGCAGGAATATCAATGCTCTCCCTCAAAGGAGACGATGGTCGCGAACGAGAGTGAAGTGAGAGAGAGGATTTGCGTTTGTGCAACCTTATATGTTTCGTTCTGCGCAGTGCACGCGTAGGGGAGCACTGCGATGAAGAGACAGAGAGCGTGGAGTTCATTTGTGAGCCACTCGACATATACATGCAGTCAGTGGCGCGTGGCGAGTTGGATGCTTCTATCAATACAGAAGTCATAGAATTCATGGCTTGCGTCGTTAGTGAATTATCCAGTCCTGTGTATTCGACCTTGCAGCTCGAGCAGTATGAGGCACGGATGTGCGTGTGGGGCGTAGAGACGCAAAGAGCTGGAAGTCTCCTACGATGACGTATCGAGTTCCTCGTCAGATCCAGATCTTCAGAAACGCGCTCGTATTGTTCTATCTCGGGCTCAGGAGTAGTGTTTTCCAAGGAAGTAGTTGGCTGCCCAACACAAGATGGATCAGTAACACACCCTTCTTGACATCGACGTGGACAAGAAGCGGAATATAAGTACCGTTATCGAGGTTGCCGTGGCGACTCCGTGGACGCCACCGACGTCGTCTACTTCTATGCGGACATCTGCGCCGCTGGAGACGTCAGCGGAAGCAACCGCATCGCGGTTCACAGTCCCTTTAGTTTTACGGCTTAGATGCCGCTCGCCGTGATTTCTAACATGAAAAGACTCTAAAACTGTCGTAATACCAGGCACACCCTCCACAGAATGCCCTGAGGAAAACGAAAGCTCGCCCTGAGGGGTCACAGGCCCAGTGCTCGAGGTCACCGAGTTGGCGGATGTCCTCCTCGGCGGGCCACGCTTGACCTTTCTTGGTGCGGGTGCTACCTTGGAAGGAGCACTCAGTCGGCGTGGTCTAGGCATGTTCGATTCGAATTGCTTTGTTGCCTCCGCGGATGTCCATTCGCACCACAGACAAAGGGGGATCCACGCATTTGCGAAGCCACACCGGACACAGACGAATAACGGTCGTTTAGGACATAGACGGAGTGTTGGGAGCGAATCGCATGGAGGCAGGTGCTAAACAAAGCAACCTGGTTGGAACTGATCCACTGGATCGCATCAGGCAACTCACTGGCTTGTTTCTCTTCCACTCTCTTTGTAGATATCGTCGCGGAGTTACTGACATGCCTTGACAATGGGCCCAGTTATCCATGGGGTAAGTTTCCTAAGTTTCCTTGGGGACAAAACGAGAGGGAAGGAAGGAGAATGGGGGGGTCGCACTCCAACTGGAAATAACTGGATCCAGTAACACGAGGAAAGGGCCAAATTTGCGAGTCCAGCGGAAACCAGTCCGAAACGCAAACACGACTTGTAGGTGACTATCAGGAAATCAGGGAAGCGAGCACAAACATATCGATCACAAGACACAAAACGATGTCCCTTATAGCATGCATATTACGCGTGCTCGATGGGTGAATACAATCGTGGTCATTGTAACAGCAAAGAAAAGCAGATTGCGCGGCTAAGATAATAATATTTAGGCACGTTGACGGTTGTGGCATTGTCACCTCGAGGCGGAAAGCTCTCCTCGTGGAGGTCACGCGTTCATACTAGAACTACTAATTCCAGCGCTCATCGTGTCTGTTGTCGACGTCTGCGCCAGCTCTGCGAGGACACACCCGACGGCTATGCATGTCATGTTCCACACGCCGTAGGTTTGAC